GCTGTATCCTTTCTCACCTGGGAAGAGATAGGATCAGCTTTCCCAAGAGAGCTGAAGTACCAAAGTGTAATTTCACGCCTCGTGAAGGGATAGCAGAGCATTCCCAGGAGTTGAAAGGGACTCTGAGCTAATAAACAGCTCAGTAGGTGACAGAATTAGATGAACACTTCTCATATCAATTTTTCCCCTATGTCTCATATCTTGGAATATGAGAGATTTGCATAAAAACCGGACACCTCGTCAGATGGCCAATGAGCAGGCGAACAGTTTGATGGGTTACTCACTTATCTTGGACCATCAGGGAAGCCAAGACATAGAACTCTTGAACCGTGCAATATATAATTTCATAATTCATATGTAAAATAATCCTCAGACTTGTCTGCATAATAATATACCTGCGGGTGGACTGTCGCTTGTGCAGATGGAAAGTTATGGATCAGAATATGAATTATGAAAGATGTGGGCTCCAGTTTAGGGTTCCGCCTGATGACCTCTCCCTAAACAGGGGATTGGTCTTTTACTTCAGAACCACCCCCTGCTGGGAAACTTTAAAGCAGGCTGTCAAGCCTAAGAGAGTTAAGTTTGAAGAATTCTCCCATCTTTACCATCGTAACATAGGGAGATCAAAAAGCACCCTTCTGCTCAGAAACGTGATCTGGTTACATCCAGGGTTAATGGCAAGTAACTTAACCCTTTAACTTCTCCCTGTTATCTCTTTGCTGTGCTGTTTTCTATGTATATATATATATATATATATATATATATATATATATATATGTTACATCTTCTTTGCAAATATTTTTATTGCACCTGTTTGAGCCTTTTAGTAATAAATCTCTCTTTCTGAAAGTGTTGAACTGTTTCTATAGCTCTTAATTGCAATTTACAAATCCCTGCCTTTAAAGAGACGCTACTGTTTGTTTTAACCCTCTGTATAACAGGCCTGTATTATGACCAGGTTATGCAGTCGATTATATCAACCATTATAGTGTTATAGCTGAACGCCAAATTTCCTCTTTCTCTGATCAAAAAGGAGGTGGTGGCAGTGTGAAGGGGTTAATTGCGTAATTAACCTGACCCAGTAACAATCGATTCAGGCTGCTGGCACATCGATCGGTTTCCATTAGCTGGAAAATCGTTGTGCAGGGTGCAGCTGGGTGTGGCATTGTTACGCACATCATCACATCGCGGTTGTAGATCGGTTAGCCCTTCGGTCACGAGTTTGGTGAGAAGGTCTGGGGTCTGACGCCGCGATCGTGACGCGCACAACTCACTTTGTTGGCACAACAGTGTTGCTAGGGAGAACAGCACCCTTCTCAGAAGGAACCTGGTTCTCCAGCAGTGCAGTTGTACCAGATCACACCAAGGTGAATGTCTGGGCATAACGGATCTGTGGTCCTGATCAACCAAACCAGCAGCAGGTGTCAGTTGCTTCAGGAGGAAAATTGCAGTTCCATCCCATGCAATCACCTGAGAGGGGAGGTGTGGCAATTGTGCGCTTAGACACATGGACGCTGACAACCATTTTGTATCATAATCTGCAAAGCTCAATCTCACTCCATAACTCAGTAGGTCACGAGCTGTAAGCATGACAGCAGGGGTGCCATAAAACGTACATCCCACACGAGTCATTTTTCATACAAATTCATAAACTTCAGCAGGAACTGAGCACATTGATATAAAGTATATATTCAGATAGGTCATTTTAATATGAGTCACATGACACCTTACATCCCTATGTAGTGTCTACAAGAGGGTAGAAAACAATATATTTTATCCAGAGTGGCAGGATATGCTACTGTCTAATATCTGTACATTTGGAATATAATTCTACATATTAATCTGCCAGTTGCTAGGATGCTAAATGTATCTATTGAAGGTTATTGACCATAGTATGAACTTGTAAGGGATTTGGTCATAACCTGGGTCCCCGCCTAACACCCATCCCGAAATGAGGAGATTGGCTATTTGCTTTCAGGAGACACCCCTTTGGGATACTAGAAAAAATGCTGACATGCCTGGAGTGAAGTAAGAGATCTCTCCCTTTTAACACCAGGAACCATCTTTGGGAGAAAGGCAACCTTTTTTGTTCGGACGATTGGACTCTGCTCAAACCAAGGACTTTTGCAAGTATCCTGCCTTCTGAAACTTCTTTCTTTTATTCATCTGTTGTTTATTGCTCTCTTTTTATATATATTATATATATATATATTTTGTTACATCTTTTTCTGTAAATATTTTAATTGCACCATTTTGACCTTTTTAGTAATAAATCCTATTTTCTGAAAAGTGTTGAACTGTTTCTAAAGCTCTTTAATGCTAACTAAGAATCCCTGTCTCTGAAGAGTGCTACTGTATGTATTAACCCTCTGAATACATCTGTCTGCGGTGACAGTGTGTATTACAGACGTTTATTGTAATATCATAGTGTTACTGCTAAGATTTGTGAGTTTCCTCCTTCTCTGCAAAAAGGTGGTGGTGGCAGTGTGAAGGGCTAATTGCGTAATTAACCTGACCCAGTAACAATCGCTCTCAGGCTGCTGGCACATAGATTGTGGTCCAGCGAGCTGGAAAATCTTTGTGCAGGGTGCAGCTGAGAGTGGCATTGTTACGCAAGTGACAGCGCGGTCTGGGATCGGCTGGTCCTTCGGTCACAAGTTGGTGAGAAAGGCTGGGGTCTGACACCGCGCACCATCACAATAAGTACTGTGAAACAGGTGCACTAATAAAACCTGGTTGGTTTACAACAATATCAAACGACATTAAAATATAAGTGCTAACAATCCAAAACTATATGTGCTCAAATCATAATGAAATAACTTGCGGCAATATTATAAGTGAAAGAACATAAATAACACAATTTATGTGCAAATATGAGTGACAATGTCCCCAAAATAAACTGTTATATATCACTGAATATAAAGAGTCAGGTGGGGTGCCACAGGTAACACTTCAAAACACTGAGGGTCCACGACAGGTGTTCCCAAGTGAAGCAAACGCTCTTACCAAAACTGTAGGAACTAAATTCTAAATCTAAAAGAGATATAGAAACACCTGGCTGACACACAGCCTTGTCAACCTGTGGTATCCAGCAATACCAGCTTAAGCTCAAAAACACAAGTAATGGAAGATGAACTCAAAGGCACATGTCATAGGGTCATAATTTTTAATAAAAACAGAGGCTTTTTTAAAAAAAAAAGCCTCTTACATATACATAAAAAAACACAGAAAAGTCAGCAGAAAAATATATCCAAGATGGCCACCGCAGTACTTCCGGCGGTTGTAACATAACCAAACCCCACCAATCATGTTTCATGCATCCCCAGAAATCACCCCTGCATTCCCTGATGATATCTGTGGTTGGACAACATACATTGGACAGGGCTTGGTGATGTCACGTCTGCTGGAAGTACTGCTGAAAAGGACACCTTGCCTGTCTCTTGAGGCTGAAGAAACAAGGTTGCTTTGAAATGTGTTCCTGTTCCAGCTCCAGCATTCTCCAAGAACATAAGGTGGCTTCATATCCTGAGCCCTGTGTTCCTTCCACATCTTTTGCTCTCCAGTGATGGCTGTTCCCTGCTTCCATTCCTTCTCCACTCCCTTTCCAGTGGTCGAGGCAAGGCATCCTGGTTGTCTGTCCAATACCTGTCCCAGAGGCTACCTGACAGTCATGCTGACCTCCTTTTTAACTTTGTGAGTGCTCTTTTACACTTTCCATGAAAATGTTACTTTATATGCTACACTATTGTTGTTGCACTTCTCTTCACCTCCCCTCTTTTTGTCTCCTACAGCCACACAGCAGACCCTTGCTGGAATGAAGCAGCACTTCCAGAGTTAGATTAGCAGTGTGTTGTATAGCACTGTGGGCTACTCACATTATCTAGCTTACATAAGCTTTATCTTTCAATTTGTTTCATAATGTATCATGTGGTTTTATATTACTTCACATTGTTTTACATTGCTTCACACTGTGAACTTACATCTAGCTCATCAGGGCACCAATTTCTGACCAGTGCGTCTGTGTGTCTATATATATATATATATATATATATATATATATATATATATATATACACACACACACATACACAGTATCTCACAGAAGTGAGTACACCCCTCACATTTTATTCTATCTGTTCATGTGACGACACTAAAGAAATTACACTTTGCTACAATGTAAAGTAGTGAGTGTACAGCTTGTATAACAGTATAAATTTGCTTTCCCCTCAAAATAACTCAACACACAGCCATTAATGTCTAAAATGTTGGCAACAAAAGTGAGTACACCCCTAAGTGAAAATGTCCAAATTGGGCCTAAAGTGTCAATATTTTGTGTGGCCACCATTATTTTCCAGCGCTGCCTTAACCCTCTTGGACATGGAGTTCACCACAACTTCACAGGTTGCCACTGGGGTCCTCTTTCACTCCATTATGGCATCACGAAGCTGGTGGATGTTAGAGACCTTGCGCTCCTCCACCTTCCATTTGAGGATGCCCCACAGATGCTCACAGATGCTAAATAGGGTTTAGGTCTGGAGACATGCTTGGCCAGTCCATCACCTTTACCCTCAGCTTCTTTAGCAAGGCAGTGGTCATCTGGGAGGTGTGTTTGGGGTTGTTATCATGTTGGAATACTACTCTGAGGCCCAGTCTTCGAAGGGAGGGGATCATGCTCTGCTTCAGTATGTCACAGTACATGTTGGCATTCATGATTCCCTCAATGAACTGTAGCTCCCCTGCACTCATGCAGCCCCAGATCATGACACTCCCACCACCATGCTTGACTGTAGGCAAGACACACTTGTCTTTGTACTCCTCACCTGGATGCCGCCACACACGCTTGACACCATCTGAACCAAATAAGTTTATCTTGGTCTCATCAGACCACAGGACATGGTTCCAGTAATCCATGTGCTTAGTCTGCTTGTCTTAAGCAAACTGTTTGTGGGCTTTCTTGTGCATCATCTTTAGAAGAGGCTTCCTTCTGGTATAAACAGCCATGCAGACCAATTTGATGCAGTGTGCAGTGTATGGTCTGAGCCCTGACAGGCTGACCCCCCCACCTCTTCAACCTCTGCAGCAATGCTGGCAGCACTCAACCTCAGCAGACAACCTCTATGACATTGAGCACGTGCAACTTCTTTGGTCGACCATGGCAAGGCCTGTTCTGAGTGGAACCTGTCCTGTTAAACCACTGTATGGTCTTGGCCACCATGCTGCAGCTCAGTTTCAGGGTCTTGGCAATCTTCTTAAAGCTTAGGCCATCTTTATGTAGAGAAACAATTCTTTTTTTCAGATCCTCAGAGAGTCCTTTGCCATAAGCTGCCATGTTGAACTTCCACTGACCAGTATGAGAGAGTGAGAGAAGATAACACCAAATTTAACACACCTGCTCCCCATTCACACCTGAGACCTTGTAACACTAACAAGTCACATGACACCGGTGAGGGAATATGGCTAATTGCGCAGTCATGGACCATGGCCCAATTTGTCATTTCTTGAGTGTTTTTACATGAAAAGATATAATAAAATATTTACAAAAATGTATGGGGTGAGATACTGTATAAATATATATATATGCACACACACATTATATTGCCAAAAGTATTGAGATGCCTGCCTTTACACGCACATTAACTTTAATGGCATCCCAAACTTAGTCCATAGGGTTCAACATTGAGTTGGTCCACCCTTTGCAGCTATAACAGCTTCAATTCTTCTGGGAAGGCTGTCCACAAGGTTTAGGAGTGTGTCTATGGGAATGTTTGACCATTCTTTCAGAAGCGCATTTGTGAGGTCAGGAACTGATGTCAGACGAGAAGGCCTGGCTCGCAATCTCTGCTCTAACTCATTTCAAAGGTGTTCTATCAGGTTGAGGTCAGGACTCTGTGCAGGCCAGTCAAGTTCCTCTACCCCAAACTCTCTAACTCTCTCATCCATGTCTTTATGGACATTAGTTTGTGCACTGGTGCGCAGTCATGTTGGAACAGGAAGGGGCTATCCTCAAACTGTTCCCACAATGTTGGGAGCCTGAAATTGTCCATAATGACTTAGTATGCTGAAGCCTTAAGAGTTGCCATCACTGGAACTAAGGGGCCAAGCCCAAACCCTGAAAAACAACCCCACAACATAATCCCCCTCCACCAAACATTACACTTGACAAAATGCAGTCAGCAAGTACCATTCACCTGGTAACCACCAAACCCAGACACATCCATTGGATTGCCAGAGAGAAGAGCGTGATTCGTCACTCCAAGAACATGTCTCCACTGCTCTAGAGTCCAGTGGGTGGCGTGCTTTACTCCACTGCATCCGAAGCTTTGCATTGCACTTGTTGATGTAAGGCTTGGATGCAGCTGCTCGGCCATGGAAACGCATTCCATGAAGCTCTCTATGCACTGTTGTTGTGCTAATCTGAAGGCCACATGACGTTTGGAGGTCTATAGCTATTGACACTGCAGACAGTTGGTGACTTCTGCGCACTGTGTGCTTCAGCATGTGCTGACCTCACTCTGTCATTTCATGTGGCGTACCACTTTGTGGCTGAGTTGCTGTTGTTCCCATTTGCTTCCACTTTGCTATAATATCACTAACAGTTGACCGTGGAATATTTAGTAGCAAGGACATTTCATGGATGGACCTATTGCACAGGTGGCAACATGTCATGGTACCACACTTGAATTCACTGAGCCCCTGAGAGTGACCCATTCTTTCACAAATGTTTGTAGAAGCAGTCTGCATGTATAGGTGCTTGATTTTATTTACCTGTGGCCATGGAAGTGATTGGAACACCTGAATCCAATGATTTGGAGGGGTGTCCCAATACATTTGACAATATAGTGTGTGTGTATATATATATATATATATATATATATATATATTTTTTTTTTTTTTTTCTTTTTTTTTTCACCAGGTAAAAAAAAATTTAAAAGCAAAAAAAAAAACCTGAAAAAGGAAAACAAATGCAGCCACTGTATCTAAGGACAAATAGCATGAAACAAAGTAGTGTGAGGATTTACATGTATAAAAGAAGTATTCATGTGCTTTGGCACCAGGCATTTTAAGTCATTTATGAAAACCTAGAATGTCACCTTGGCAGGAGAATCAGGTAAGTGCAGGTAAAATACCTAAAAAAATGATAATTTGCACTTACAATATAGTGACTTGATCAGATCAAATACAAATAATAAATGAATAATATGTATAAAAAAGATTTATAGAAAATATAGACTGTTCTGCTTATTGTATTTGTTTTGTTGAATTTGCTTTATTAATTCATCAGTTTTATTCACAATATATTTATTTACATACACTGTATGTATACATATCTAATTTACCTTTATATATATTATACATGTTTAGTTTTAACATATTTATAGGGAATTGACAGATTTAGGAATTATATTATGTCAGTTATTAAAGTAAAACCATAGGAAAAACTTTTTTTCATTTTGGATGGAGTAAGGGAGAGGCATAACCCTGTCAGTTTATTTTTTGCCATCCATGTACTATTGGGGAATTTATCTTCACTTCCTCTCCCATAGCCAAAACAGGAAGTGAGAGGAAATCCCTACAAAGGGAATCCCATGGGAACCAAGTGTAAAATGTCCCCTCTATTGCTTTTCTGGGGGCAACCCAAAATTTTGTGGTTTTCTTTCACTTTCGATAATAATGGTAAACAGGACAAACAGAGAGGGTGAATCTCCCTAACAGGGATACCGATAGCAATAAAAACCTAAAGGGGTTTTAATCCATCTCCACTCTATCAAAAACTAAAAAAAAAAGTTTTGCCTTTAGTTATACTTTAAGGTTGTTACTATTTGTTTCATGTCTGACTTCAAAAAGGTCCAACTTGGTCTGACTGCACCGCTGTTTGTTTTGACAGCTCTAGCTTCTGAACGGCTTGCGCCAATGAACATTGGTTAAGCCTTGCCTACATTTCAATGCTCAAGTCACTTACAGCCATTTGTGTTTCTCAGAGATGCTTTGCTGGATTTGCAAAGTTTGCAAAGTTTAGCACAAGCTTTAATTTAGTGGCTTTATACCGTGTGTAGTTTAAAATGATTTTTGCTTGCTTTTCTAACATTTTTCAGGCTGTGAAGTTATTTGCAGTATTGCAATATTTTAAGATTTGTCAATTACATATAACTTTGTTACTTTGCAAATCAAATAAGGCTTTAACCAGTCATATTAATAGTACCAGGTCCATGTTATTGCTGTTATTTTTATACTGACCATATTTCTTAATATCTTTGTTTTGGTTCTCTCCTTGTTTTTTTTTTTTTGTAGTAAGTTTTTTTTTTTAACTGTGTCACTGTTGGACATCTGTGGATCATTTTTAACTTGCAAAAACATGCAAAAAAAAAATCATCATTTGCTACATTTTTCCAGTGACACACTTTTCAAATCCCTTTGATTTTTAGTGATTTAATTTAATTTCACTTTCAGGAATACAGCAATAAGAGTGAGACTTCTCCTTTTATGATAAGAAACATGAAATGTATGGTAGTGTTTTACCACTGCTACAGTAGCTTTAATAGGGGATTTAAGTCCAGCAAAGTCAACTGAAAGCTAAATGTAAGTTGCGGAATGACTGATCCCCTAACATAGTATTTTCACACTTATAATCACAGCTCTGAAAACTAGTGTAAGTGAACAAATGTTTTTTTTTTCTTTTCACATTTAAAACTACACCTGTTTAAATCCCAAGATTCAAATTTAGCATTGTGAAAACTTTCCTCTACCTCCAAGAATGTCTTTTCAAGGATTACAACCATCCACCAGCGTCTCATTGGAAATTCAGTGTTGTGCGGAGGTCAACAGTTTTCTAGGACTGCACATGTGAAATGATAATTATCTTGTTTTCTTCTTTTGCTTTCCCTGTGAAGGTAAGGTCAATTCCCAGGACATGGTCTTAAGGGAAATCATAAAAATAAAGAGCCAACAAGTCTAAAAGACTTAAAGGGATTTCAAAAGGCTGAGGAAGCTGTATGCGTCTTGAAGCAGCAGTACATATCTAGGATAAGCTTTTAGTAGTTTCTGACTCATGTCTTATAATAAAAAGTGATCAGGGAGCAGCTGATCAGAACTCCAGGGACTGAAATCCATAGTGATAACATTTTTTTTTATTTTATAATAATAGTATACTGTCTAATAAGCATGTTCAATGGCCTTTTGCTCAACTGGCACAAAATAAAAAACATTTAAGGAAGTCTGTGCTGAAGGGATATTAAGTTCTGCCAAGGACTGATACCCTTTACTGAAGCTTAAAATAAAACTCTAAACTTTTGTCTTACTAAATTTCCCTTACTATTTTCTCATTATAAGAAAAATAGAAAAGTAGAGTAAAAACATACTTTTTTTTACTAAAACCTGTTGGGAGTTAGCAACACAATCAGATGACTAAACTGCATAAATGTATGAAAACTAGTGACAGCCAACCATACTGAATAACAAATCAACAAATAAAATGCCATGTAACATAACATTTTGGGTTTTAGACCAGAGCAGGATCTAGCCTATGTAATGTGGAGGTGCAGTAAAAAATGTCAGAGAGACAGGGGATGGGAGGTTAACAGGGCAGTGTACAGGGGCCTTAACGTGGCAGAGGATAGCGTCAGCAGTTTGTAGGCCATTAGATGTGTGGCAGTGTACAAGTGTCAGCAGGTTGGAGGATAGGGCCAGCAGGGAGGAGCATGGGGTTCAGAAGGGCAGTATACATGATTCGCAGGGTGGAGGAAATGGGTCAGCAGGGCAGTGTGCAGGGGACAGGGGCAATAGATCAGCATAAAAGGTTCTGCAGTGCAGAGGACAGGGGTGACTGTTGGCAGGGTGGAAGACAGGGGTCACTGCTAGCAGAGCGAAGGACAGGGGTCTCTACTGGCAGGGTGAAGGACAGGGGTTCTCCTGGCAGGCAGAGGAGGGTCACAACTGAAATCTGGGGGAGTGCAGTCCACCCCAGCACTCCCCTCGATCCATCCATGTTTTAGGTGCATTTTTTTCCAAATTTTCCAAGTGCACAGAAGCAGAACTCCAATCTGTAAAGGCTATGGTCTTTTACAATTTTTCAATTTTCAAAGTGAACAGATAATAATAAAATGAGTTTGTCTCATAGTCCATATGAGTTCTTCAAAAAATTAGAAGTAAGACACTCCAACTAGCTACTATAACTTTATATTAACATCAGCATCAAATCGTACCATAAAAACAATCAGTCAACCAAATACAATGAATGCCTACTTTTCCAACAAATGCAATGCAAAATATTTGCTATCTTTATTTAATTTGCATTTTGTTTCATGATTTCCATTCAGGCAGGGTATTGCTTCACAAATAAGTCCCTGTATCTGTAATTATACAACTAAGTATTTAGTAATAGCTAGACAAATTAATAAAAAAACATTAATATTTCTTCTATTAGCCTATGGCATGTTCTGTTTGCCATATGATCTGAAAACTTTTTTTTATGATATTGAACTCCATTTCAGTCAAAGAAGCGTTTTCTAAAAAATAGTGGCACTTTTAAGAAATGGCACAAAATGCCTTTTTTGGTTTTACTTTCAGAAGAAAATTTAAGACAACTAGTTTAATAAATCTGTATATAATAAGTATTCTGTATGCAGTGCCTTTAAATAAAACATATCAACATAGTTTGGGGGAGATTTTAACTATGATATATAACAGGAAATATATTTTAAAGAAAACCTGTACTAAAATAAATACGATTGCCATGGATGAAAGGATTTCTTTCAGAAAAAAAATGGTTCTGACTTCACATGCTGCAGGCCTGGTCAATGTGAGTAACTCTGAATGTATGTAATAAAGGGGTCAGCATGACAGTCAAACAACTACCCTGGTTAAAAATGCAAGGTCCATTTATTCTTTAGATTCATACCTCACATGTAAAAACAATGCATTAAAAGAGAAGTTCACCTTTGGAACACATTACACGTTACAATGAACTACATCTGCCAACGGCCTACCAGGCACCCCCATTGGAAGATTTTCCCTTACCTCTGAAATGGAAATTTGGACCTACAATGTTTTTTGCCTTCATAGACATTTTTAATAATAGACATTATTAATAATGAACTTCTGACACATGACTCTACAGTTTAACTCCTAAAGAATACTGTTTGGACATTAGCTGGAATTTTCAGAACAGGGGTCATAAAAAGAGATCATAAATGGGCCCTGGAATTCTATCTGGAGGAATGATCTGAAGAAGACTATTCTCCAACCACCTGGTAGTGTAATCTATCGACTAAGTGTCATGAAGTATCCCTGAGAAAGTAGATGACTCTGTGGGGAGTCCCTTGTCATGCCTGGAGGAAGTCACTTCAAAGGGTTAATTTGAGATGGGGATGCAGCTGGAACTGCCTGTCATAAATGCAAGCTGATGGCCTAAAGTTGACCAGTATCTTAAGAATTTATCACTGACCAACAGCGATCTCCATTAAATAAAAAATGGCAAAACTTCGAGCTTTACCGAAAGCTTTAAAGGGTGTGTCTTTACTTGGATAGGGGAGTGAGGAGGTGGCATCAAAAAGGGGTATCAAATCAGGACACAGCTATCAGTTCTCTCTCTCTCTATCTGGATGCACAATGGAACATAAGATGTCTGCATAAAGTGACATCATTCTTTCTTTAACTTTATCTTCAACTTTCTTTGTCTGCAATGCTTCTCACCATTAGTAACATTTTTCATTTGTAACATAACTTTAAATTATATCAGCTACATTATATTTTATTTAATTAATAGAAAACATTTCCTTCTGTATAAATAAATTAGACCTTTATTTTTGTAGCACAGTTGTAATTTTTATGAACCTTATTATAAGAGTTACAGCAAAAATTGGCTGGATTCAGGTATAGACAAATGGTGGTATTCAAGTATTATGTTTATCACCAAACAAGTGCGGTTGTGTTTCAGCCATAACACCTCTTGCTTTCAGATTTTGGATTTCCTCTTACTTTCTGTCTTGGTAACAATGGTTAACAGGACAGAAGGAGGAATAAATCTTCCCAATGAGAACACAAACAGAACAAACAGAAATACAAACTTGTCAGAGTCTAAGCCTTCTCTACTTTATAAAAGCCTTGGCTTTCCTGGGTCTCTCTCTCCTCACTGGCTGAGACACAGCAGCAGGAGCCATTGGTTCTAGTGAGGAGCAAGCGAGGCTGAGCAGTGCTCTGTGTCTTATAGACACAGAGTGGGGCTTGGGAGTGAACACGTATTAGTGCCCCCATAGGAAAACAGCTTGCTCTGGGGGCACTTAGCAGGGGGGAGGGGCCAAGAGCACTAGCGAGGGACCTGATTAGAGGAGGGTTGGGGCTACTCTGTGCAAAACCATTGCACAGACCAGGTAAGTATAACATGTTTGTTATTTTTTTTAAACCTGAGCCTTTAACTGCTTCCTGTTTGGCGGACAGGAAGCAGTGCAGATGTGGATTAATGTACTTGTACATCAACCTGCATCAGTGGCTCCTGTGTGGCTCACAGAGCGCGCACCCGGGAGACTGGTGATTATAGTGTCACCTGTACACAGTGGATCACTTTACTGCTGTGTCTGGGTGATCACATGACGTTATACCATGTGATTGCTATGTCCAATCACAGCAATCACATGTAAACAATAGAAACAGAAAGTAAAGATCGTTTCTCTCTGCTCTCACTGTGAGAGCAGAGAGAACCAATGCAGCAACCTGTGAGTGTACAGCAGCCTATAGTGTCAGCAGACTACAGTGTCAGCCACCCCAGTGTCCCTGATCACTGCCCTAGTGTAGAACAAAGAAAAAATGCAGCCAGCATCTGTCGCCTGTCCCAGTGCTCACAAAAAACACAGCCATACACCATACCAATGTCCTGATCACCACCATAACCCATACCAGCGCATGATCACCGTCATATGCCAAGCCAGCGCCCTGATCTCCACCGTACCATACTAGCACCCTGATAACTCCATATCCCATAATAGCAGCCTGATCACCGTCAAACCCCATACCAGTGTTCTGATCACCGCCATAAACCATGCCAGCATTCTGATCATCACCATACAACATGCCAACATCCTGATAACTGCCATTCCTCCTACCAGCGTCCTGATCACCACGATACCAGCATCCTGATCACCACCATACAGCTTCCTGATCACTACCATACCAGCTTCCTGATCACTACCATACCAGCATTCTGATCACCATACCATACCAGCTTCCTGATCACCATTCCATACCAGATCATAACAGCATCTGATCCCCACCATGATCACCACCATACATCCTGATCACCCATACCCATAACCACCATACCAGCGTCCTGATTAAACTGATTCTGATCATCGCCATACAACATGCCAGCATCCTGATAACTGCCATTCCCCATACCAGCATCCTGATCACCACCATACCAGCGTCCTGATCACCGCCATTTCTCATACCAACTGCCAAACCTCCTATCAACATACTGATCACTGCCATACCCCATACCACCATCTGGCATTTTAGGGTCTCAACTGATCACTTTTAAGATATATATCCCACATTTTGTAGACTCTATTACTTTCACACTAAATAATATACACTGTTTCGTGTTATTTTTACCCAAAAAAGTAAATTTTGGCCAAAATTTATGAAGAAACATTATTTGCAAAATTTTAAAACAAAAACTAAGAAATTTTTTTTTCTTAAATTGTCGGTATTTTTTCATTTTTATAGCAAATAATTAAAATCCCAGTGGTGATTAAATACCCCCAAAAAAGCTCTATTTGTCTGAAAAAAAATGATAAAAATTTCACATGGGTACAGTGTTGCATGATTGAGTAATTGTCACTAAAAAGTGTGACAGTTCTGAATGCTGAAAATTGGACTGGACTGGAAGGGGGTGAAAGTGTCCAGACTTGAAGTGGTTAATATTGCTTTAATGCAGCTCTCTATTCAATATAGGGTTGCCCCGTCATCCCTTTAATCCTGAAGACATTAATTACACAGGTTCTGAGGCTAACTTAACACCCCGATCGCACTGGGTGCGACTTGGCATGCAATTTGCATGCCATGCGTCTTACAAAACGTATGCCAAATCGCACCCTATTGTCTTCTTCAAGTCTGGACACTTTCACCCCCTTCCAGTCCAGTCCACTTTTCATCTTTCAGCACTGCCACACTTTTTTGTGACAATTACTCAATCATGCAACACTGTATCCATGTGAAAGTTTTGTCATTTTTTTAGACAAATAGAGCTTTTTTTGGTGGTATTAATAACCACTGGAATTTTTATTTTTTTGCTATATAAATGAAAAAATACCGATAATTTTGGAAAAAAAAGTTGGAAACGCACAAATATGACCGCTCTAATAGTGGACAATAGGGTGCAACTTGGCATACAATTTGCAAGTCACCTAGCAAGCTAATTGCATGCCAAATCACACCTGATGTGACCGGGGTGTTAATGCGCTCTCTACTCAATATAGGGTTGCCACCTCATCCCTTTAAACCTGAACACATATTAATTACAGAGGTCCTAAGGCTAATTTAATGCAGATAAAGCACCAAGTGAGTTTAATTACCACCTTAATCAGCCAGAGAACTTGTGTAATTAATATGTGTTCGGGTTGAACCACTTGCCGACCGCAGGTAGCCGAATGACAGCTTCACAGCGGTCGGCCAGTTCTGGGAGGGCGACATATGACGCCCTCCCAGAACACACCCTCCTGAGCGTGCACCCAGTGATCTCTGTGATCACTGTGTCCTACGGACACAGCTGATCATGTGCTGTGGTAAAAGGCCAATCACAGCGGCCTTTTACCACGTAATCAGCCATATCCAATGTCACAGCAGATCACCGATAAATGCAGTTGCCGGTTATCGGCTGCACTTTCCTCACGCTGTCACAGTGTGAGGAAAGTACTACCGATAACCAGCAATTGTCAGAGGACAGATCGGCACCAATCATCAGGGCACTGATGATCAGTGCCCTGATGATCAGTGCCCAGCAGTGTCACTGTGCCAGCAGTGCCATCCATCTGTGCCCAGCAGTGCTTCCCCAAGTGCCCCATCAGTGCCACCCATCAGTGCCGCCCATCAGTGCCGCCCATCAGTGCCCAGCAACGCTGCCAGTCAGTGCCCAGCAGTGCCGTCAGTCAGTGCCACCCATCAGTGTCACCTATCAGTGCCGCCTTTCAGTGCCCATCATTGTTGCATATCAGCGTCAGCTCATCAGTGCTGCCTATCAGTGTCACCTATCAGTGCCCATCATTGTTGCATATTAGTGCCAGCTCATCAGTGCCGCCTAATAGTGCCACCTCATCAGTGCCACCTATCAGTGCTGCCTATCGGTGCCCATTAGTGCTGCCTATCAGGGAAGCCTCATCAACGCACATCAGTGAAGGAGAAAAATTACCTGATTGCTAAATTTTATAATAGAAAGAAAGAAAAACTTTTTTTTTTAAACTTTTTGCTCTTTTTTTGTTTATAGCGCAAAAAATAAAACACTCAGTGGTGAGTACATGCCACCAAAAGAAAGCTCTATTTGTGTGAAAAAAATGATAAAAATTTCATATGGGTACAGTGTTGCGTAAATGTGCAATTGTCATTCAAAGTGTGAGAGTGCTGAAAGCTAAAAATTGGGCTGGGCAAGAAGGGGGTATAAGTGCCCAGTAGGCAAGTGGTTATAGGGACGAGGTGGCAACCCTAATTTAATAATACGTAAGTGCATATTATAAATGCAGGTACGGTAAGTACCTGAATTTGACTTGGTTATCAACCTCTTTGTAGTCTATTGTACAGCCTGTGCATGGTTTTAACCCCATATTTCCGATCATCTGGGTAAAGGGTTTAAATCCAGGAGCCATTTGTCTCAGTATTCAAAAGTAAACTTGAATCAGGTAAGATAGAGAAAAGTAGTATAATTGTATACACAGCACACTGCAGCATTAATCCATTATAGAACAGTTTTAGAAGGACATTTAATAAGGGGATTTACGTCCCAAAAGACTTGAAGCGTATTGCTCTGTTTTCAGTTATGCTCACTGCTTGCATAAGCCACAAATGATTTAAAGAATGCTTACCAGTTCAGCATCTTGTTGACTGATCTCCTGCAGATATGGAATAGTTGCTAGTTCTGCCAGAGCTTGATTAATCACCTGGGAATGATCCTCTACTCGTTGCAATTGACTGAGGATGCTGGCATACTGCAGCCTTTCTATCACACCTGAACATGGAGATCCGCCACTCTGTGCTCAGCAAAATAGGACAAACAAATGTATATTAGATCAGGACACAAAGATAATCATTCTGCCTAATACAACACTTTATCAAAGTTATGCCTGACACTGCACCAGATATTAATGTGTGTTTTCATTGCAGCTTGCATAACAAGTTTACAGTCACTTAGTCTTATTGTTGTAGGGACGATTAGTCTGGCAAGCTCACCAATTTGAACAGCAAACATAACCCATTTAACACTTGCTGAATTAAATAGAATGAATATTTAGATATTTCTACTAAACAAGTCCATATCAGGACATAGCTTAGTCCTATTAAGAGCAATAGGGTTTGAGTTACTACTGCTATTGAAAATTGTTTAGTGCTTTGCTATGTCACTGATGCCTAAATTGACATTCTCCAGCATTTATGAAGCTGTAGAAAACTGTCACTAATTCAGCAGTGCAGTTCAGCATTGTAATGTTGATTCATGAGAGCGGTTCGTAGTGTGTCTGGGGCTTCCGAAGATCCACCCTCAATGTGGTATCAAGCCACCTTCTGAAATTGATTTACTATGTGAACCCATTACTTTTTAAGCAGAAGATTGATAGGTGTGCCATATGCAAGGTGGCATATTTTTGAATATACAAGTACACATTGCGGTAGTTCATATTAAGAAAACATGATTAATATACCTAAAACCAAAATAGTATAGTGATATCCTTAAACATCACTTGTGTAAAGTAACATGTGTACATGACATATCAACTTCATACCAGGGGCGGACTGACCATTTGGAATTTCGGACACTGCCCAGGGCCCGGGGTCAGTAGGAGGCCCCATGAGATGCCCCTGGTACCTTTTTCATAGGCTTTTTTGAGTTTGGGCAAGGACACAGGGGCCCCATGATCCCCTATTGCCCGGGGGCCCCATGAGTTGTCAGTCCGCCCCTGCTTCATACATGTGTAGAATAAACGTCCCAAGAATATTCAAGTCCAACAGTTGAACCATGATATCCAACCACTGGTGAACAAATCTGGTGATCACTCCAAGCACTCTTCTTGCATAAAAACACCAAGTGCCAAAACATGTACTTCACCCAGTGGGAACTCTTATCTACCCACCTTCAAAAATTACCTCTAGTAATAAATCGAGGTCATACAACACTTGCTACCTCTGGTGGGGCTGGTGCAGTAACATCAGCAATTCTCTTCAATAATCCTCAATTCATACCATATGCAGATCCTACACCATGCAGGAAATGGAGGTCTTCAGTGATGTCAGAGCCATGATATTGGAGTGATGGTGAAATATACTAAATCATTCATTACCCACCTGAGCTGCTGAGATCTATCAGAGATTGTGTGCTGACTAAGGCTGGCCATACATTATACAATTTTCTTGAGAATTTACCAAAAACCCTATAATATGAGGTCAATCCTAAATGACACTTTCAATTGTATCCAATTAGGCAGGCCCTTACACTACATAGTTGAAGGTAAATCTAAAGGAAATTGGACAGAAAGTTCTAAGAAAATTGTATAGTGTATGGCCAGCCTTAGGAAGACAGGAGTCCTTCTGATCATTCACATAGGAACATTTGTTGATCTTTGTTTTGGGCGTCAGTATATTGAAGTGATAGTTTGCCCACAAGGGTTGCATCACAGTGGAGGTTTTCTGCTTGCACATATCTGCAGCACTTACTTGTTTCACAGGACTTGGTGTTCACATTATAAATGGACTTCATTATTTTCAGCTTTTACTTGAGATTTATGTTTTTGTGCTTTCGATTATTTGAATATTGTAAACGTATTGAATGCTAATTACAAGACTGTTCACCATTTTTTTAGGGCAGCCCAGCATTTATTTCTAAATATACTTGAATCAAGCAGAGCCCTGTCTGAAAGTAAGATGGGGTGGTATCCATTTGCATATGTGGAAGCAGTTCAGCAATCCTATGTTAGCTTTTAGCTCACCTGAGAGAGCTGATTTTGTTAAATCTTCATTTACCCTCTTGAATGAAAACTTGACATTCTGGCTCACAGGCATGTGCTTGAGGTTATTGATTGAGGTGCATGCTACCCATAGCAATTACTAGGTGCTGTCACTATTGCATTATTTTTATAAAAAGCTTTACCTTAGCTTTTATTTGGATGAATTGATAGCAAAACTGTATAATTTGTGATCTGTAACATATAATAAACTAACTATGTATTTCCCTCATAATTCCAGACACATCATATCTCACGTTTCAAACCCCAGAATCTGGAGTTTTTCAACATTGCCTTCAATAAAAAAAATTTTTGACAAAGAATCCAGATGCCTTACTTTTATAATAATAACTGACCATAGGCAGCGTGGTGTAATGTTTTTTGGAGGCTATGTACACAACTGTGCTGGACTCTCATAGCAGCCCTGATTTACCTTTAATTGCATAGAGAAGCATAAATAGATAGTGATTATGTCACTGGATCTAAAATCAGGCTTGTTTAATCAGGTATAAAGAAACAAACAAAGGGCGCAAAGACATAGAGCAATACCGTTAAGATGTATTGGATGTAAAACCAACTCACAAAAGCCAAGGATTGAAAGCATAGTATAAAATCAAGAAACCACAATGGTGATCCAGAGGATAGAACTCGCAGGGTTCTTGCATGAATCAGACTACTGCTGATGCGTTTCAAGGGACAGCTTCTCTTTTTCAAAGCAAAGGATTTTGTTCTTATGTTTTTAAGACTCCCTAATCTCAGGAGGGCAGCACTGATCAATTATCCCAGTTCTGAGATCAATATGGTTATTAATTCATTACTGGTTGGCTTAACCAAGAATCCCTGCACGCTATGCTGTAAAGTGTTGGTTATATGTTTAATTAGTCTTTTGCGTTTTTTTTAGGGTGTGTTCTTCACTATAATGAATACTTTCTTGCATTATATGGATGGATAGACCCTGCCCACTCTTCAGTGTTCAGAATGATATTCATGTATATTTCCAGACAGTTTTTTGCATTCCCCAGTTTTAGTTTTTTCTTACACCTGTATAAAATTTGAGAGATTTGCCTTCACTTCCTCTTCTGTAGCCTTAAAAGGAAGCAGTGTGAGGGCTCTCCTAAACAGTTCTCACTAAAACAAGTGCATCTCTATTGGAATATTTACTCTCTTTTACATTCCTGCTGTCAAATCCAAAATCAGGATTTACCTTCATTTTCATTCTTGGTGACATCGGTGATCAAAACAAATATAGAGTGAATGTTTCTAACTGGGACACAAACAGCAATTCAAACCTCATTACATTTTGCAAGTAAAAACATAAACAAATTACCCTTCACTCTTGGTACACATGTCCCTAAGTCTATAATGTAATGGTCCATCTATCATAATATTTGCAATAAATGACACAAAAAATGCTGGATGTGGCCCCCACCCAAAGAGAAAAACAAGTTTACCAGGACATTTTTCATCAGACGCTGTGTAGGAGGCCCGCAGCTGTCTTATATGTCTTTGCAATGGTTTATGTTTTTTTTGGGAACATTATGACAGTTTTTTTTCAGAATAATTTGCAGGTATGTGCTTACTTTACATTTCTAAGAGCTTGTTCACACCTGATCTGTTGGGGCTGCACTGGTCACAGATTCCTCACCACTGGGACACAGGACCAAGGTATTATAGCTTGGAATTGCACCCAAGACTAGACATAACTAGCTTAGATGCCAAACTGGAACTACTTTGTTGAACAAGAACACAGGTTTTTATATACTTCAGAAATAGCGGCAGTCCCTAAAATAAAACAAATATTACACATTGAGATAAAACATCCCACACAGATTAGACAATGAGGTGAAGCTGACATTAGTCTAATCCTATTATGTAGGCACCTCCAGAAGGACTTGCCAACAGACAAACAATAGGTGACTCAGTTAGCTAATTTAACAATGGGAATGCACACCTTGGAGGCACACAAAGGGAGAAGATAGTAAACACATAACACCTTAATAAACAGATTAGAGCAAGAGTCCTCAGCATTAGGTTGTTTTGAGCTGCTTATATCAACATCTTCTTATAGTCTCTGAGTCTAGGAAGGAGGGGGGTTGAAGCAGTCAATGCTAGTTTGGGCACAGAGACCCCAAATCTGTATCCTGGTCTTCCAGTTCTGTATGTGTGTTTTGGGGAGACATGGACTTGAATCCGAAAAAACTACTCCAAAGGTCCCCCAAGGCACCC